AAAAAAAAAAAGGACTGAAGAAAGGGAAGAATGAGGAAGGGAGGGAAGAAGAGGGGAGGCAAATGAACTAATGGCCTAAAATGATAACTCACAGATATCTAAGACTGATGGGATAAAACAGTATAAATAACTCAGACAATAATTCAATTGACAGCCTATGGCTTTAAATAAAACTAAATAAATCCATTCAACCTTAGAAAATCTGTCTTAATAGAACTTTTCATAATTTAAAAATGCAACTAGGACTGAGATGAATCCTGAATGCTAAGCGACTTACTTTATTTACTTAAACCATATTCTGCAATGGACGCAACATCATTTTTCCTTTTATATGGGAGGGGAGAAAAAATCCAGTAACCAGAAGACAATAATATTACCTTTATTACTCCACACTGAAAGTGCAATTTCAGAATTGTTACTCAGAGGAAGGCGTCTTCCTTTCCCTACAAGCTCTCTATTTACAAAGGTTCCATTTCCACTGTGATCTTCTATGTATGCGATGAAAGAATTTTTAGGACCCATTTCCTAAAATAGAGAGCATTTTATTTCAAAGTTTTAACAGTGGGACATTTTAGTACGGATCTAAGAGTGATATCCAGATTACCAGATTTCCCAAATGTACAGCCAGTTGTCACCTACTCTGAAGATCCGAAAGTGTTTCTTGCTGTAAGTCCGGTATTTATCGGTTCTTTTCAGCAGGGGCTCATCAAAGCAGTATTCACAGTTTCTATCCCTCCCAAACCAGTAGTTGTCATTAACACACTCTGTAACACAAAAGCACACACCAGAGGGATGTTGAATCAAACACCCTTAAAAATTGCTCATAAAATCTACTTGTAGGAAAGTGGCTTAAGAAGGCAATCAAGATTATAGATGTGTCTATCACAATTTTATAAGATTAAAACTGGGAGTAGAGAAAAAAAAATTATGCCAAAGAGCTAAATAAATTATGGTTTAGACATAGCTATGAAATGATAAGCAATTGTTAAAGTTCTCAAACGATTTTTAACGATTTGGAAAAAATACTTATGGTATAATAATAACTTCCTACTTATTACTCTCCTGAGGCTTTGCATCACACTTAGTATAAAATCTACACTACACATAGCAGGCTAGATGCTCAGGATCCAGCCCCTGCTTCCCTCCCAGATTCACCTTGTTCCCCTTCCCTTGATCATCACACCCAGTTCCACTGACCTCCTTTCCCTGCCCCAAATGTGCAGGGCTCAACCTCCCCTGTGACCTTAGAACTCTTCATTCCCAACTATTTGAATGGCCATCTTGCCTTTTGTGTCTGCAAATTAGCATCTTCCACTTTCTATATAAAGCAGACTCCCAATTCACCACCCGCTCACTATAATCACCATGGCCTCTGTATGGACCATAACTGAAAATTATCTTGATTATCTGTATATTGCCTCCTGGCATTCCCGTTAGAACAAACTCCAGGAGGGCAGCCTTGAGTCTCTCCTTTAAGAGACCAGTTCCAGCACCTAGCACAAATGCATGTGGTAGACAAGCAAAATGTTTATGGAAGGACAGACCAGGGCAAACATCAGCAACTCACACCACAAAGGACTAATTTCCCTAGCATCTGTAAAGTTCCTACAAAGCAATAAGGAAAAGACAAATAATCCAGTAGAAAATGGGTAAAGGATAAAAAGAGACAATTTATAAGAGACAGAAATACAAACAGCTCAAACATATGAAAATGGCCAAGCTAACTCAATACAAGAAATTTTAGAATCCATAAATACATTAAGATTCCATATTTCAACTATCAGAATTTCACAATTTCTTTAAATTACGTAAGCACACACCACTTCTAGGAATTTATCCTACAGTATAATCATATGCATTCTGGAAGGACATAAGAACATATGTCCAAGGTTATTCACAAAGCAAAAGACTGTCAACAACTTTAATGTCCATTAGTAAGGGGCAAGTTCAATAAATTTATATATCTATAAAAAGGAATGAGGATTTTTATAATCTGATAGGATATCTAAGATACATTGTTAAGTATAAAAAACAAGTTACAACCAGTGTGTTGTGAATTACGATTAGTATAAATATTAAAGAGAAAAAAAGGACATACAGATACTTAGTTGCTTCTATACTTCCGGAAAGCTACATGAGAAATCAGCAATACCGGGAAGTATTTGGGGGAAGGACAGAAATTGGATGAAGGCTTTGCACCTCCTTTGAATTTTGCACCTAATGCAAATATAACTTCTTCAAAACCTTAAATTAAATGAATCACTTAGAGTTTGCAGTCTAGTGGGGAAATGAACGTGGAAGCAACAACAATACAGCAGGTAGGCAGGCTCTCGGGAGGGGAAGCACAGATTAAAAGCCTTGGCAACTCTGCCTGGGGCTATCAGGGGGGCTTCATGGAGGAGGCAAGACAGGAAGAGTAGACTGAACAGCCCTTTTGGAAGGCAATATAGCAGTATCCATTACAAGATAAAGCCATGCCAACTCTATGGCCCAGCAATGTCTACCTTAGAGAGACATTTGCTCAACTGACCAAGGAGGCAAAAAGGACATTCACCACAGCTCTTGCTTGCCGGAGTGAAAACTGGAAACAACCTAAGCATGTATTAAAAGGGGGAGGAATAAATGAACCATGGTATTTCTACTAGAAACCCGGAGCTTCTGGGGCAGTTGCCCCAGGAAAGGCATGGAGAGTTCATCAGGACACCAACAGTCCAGGGATGACAGACAGAAAGTAGAAGAGGAGGCTGCCCACGGAAGGGTGGAAGGGCCTGCTCTGACCCTGGCTCATTAGAAGAGCCCTCCTCAGGAAGACGTGTGGAGGAGGACAGGGAGCGCAAGGCAGGAGGGAAGGGGACCAAAAGCTCTCAGTGAGGCAACCGGGGTATGAACCCCAGGAAGGATGGGCCCTTCCTCCTAGTAATGAAGAATAGATACAGGTGAGATGGTGTCGGTGGGGTAGGGGAGAGGAACATCACATAAGACAGGATGTCCGCTCTTATCACTTCTACTCATTGTAGCAGAGGTTCAAGCCAGGGCAATTAAAGGAAGGGAGGGCAGGAGGGAAAGGGAAAGGCATCATATCGGAAAGGAAGAAGCAAATCTACCTAATTCTATTCACAGGTGACACAATCTTATATGTAGAAAATCCTATGGAATCCACTAAAAATGATTAGACCTAATAAACAAGTTCAGCAACATTACAGGATACAAGATCAATATTCAAAAACCACTTATATTTCTATATATATACAATAGACAAACCTAAAATGAAATTAAGAAAATAATTCCATTTACAATAGCATAAAAAGAATAACATACTTGATAATAAGTTTAACAGATGTACAAATCTTATACTCTAGAAACTACAAAACACTGCTGAAAAAAATTTTAAAGGCCTATGTAAATGTTCATTGATTAATGTTGTTAAGATGACAAAACTCCCAAACTATATGCAATTTGTATCAAAATCCCACCTGCCTTCTTTGCAGAAATTAACAAATTCAAATTAAAATTCCTATGGAAAGCCAAGGACCCAGAATAGAAAGGAAAAAATAATAGCAAAAAAGCATTCTTCAAAATGAAGTACAAAGTTAGAGGGCTTACGTAACCATTTTGCAATTTCCAAATGTACTACAAAGCTACCATAATCAAGACAGTGTGGTACTACTGAAAGGTTAGACATATAGATCAATGGAGAAGAATTAAGAAACCATAAATAAATCACATTTACAGTCAACTGATTTTCAACAAGGTGCCAACACAATTCATTGGGGAAAAAATAATCTTTCCAACAAATGGTGCTAGGACAAGCAGATATCTACGTGTAAAATAATCTAGTTGAAATTTACTTCACACCATATACAAAAAGCAACTAAAACAGAATCAAAGACTAATTGTAGGAACTAAAACTATAAGACTTCAAGAAGAAAAAGTAGTGATAAAGATTTGTAACCTTGAGTTAAGCAATGCTTTTTAGATATGAAACCAAAGCACAAGAAATGAAAGAAAAATACAGTATAATCAAATTAAAAATTTGTGTGCATCAAAGAACACTGTCAAGAAAGTGAAAAAAAAATAGCCTCAAAGAATGCGAGAAACTATTTGTGAAACATGTATCTATCCACCATATATAAAGAACTCTTACAACTCAACAAGACAAACAATCCAATTTAAAAGCGTGCAAAGGCTCTGAATAGACATTTCTTCAAAGATATAAAAATGGCCAATAAGCACATGAAAGGATGTTTAACATCACTAGCCATCAGGGAAATGTGAACCAAAACCACAATGAAAACCTCCTGGTTTTCTCTTACAGAAGAAAAAAAAAACCCACAATGAGAAACCACTTCACATCTACTATGAGGACTAAAATTAAAAGACAGATAATAAGTGGTGGTGAAATGCAAAGAAATTAGAACCGCCATACACTGCTAGTGGGAATACAGAATAGTGCAGCTGCTGTGAAAAAGTTTGGTGGCTCCTTAAAAAGTTAAACATATTATCCAGCAATTGCACTCCTAGGTAAATAACCAAAAAAAAATTGAAAACAGGGACCCAAATAGATGCTTATCACAAATATTCATCACAGCATTAATCAAAATAGCCAAAAGGTAGAAATAAGCAAAATGTTCATCAACAGAAGAATGGATAAACCAAATGTGATATACATATACAATGCAATATTATTCAGACATTAAAAAAATAAAGTTCTGATACATAACACAACATGAATGAACTTTGAAAATATTATGCTAAAGGAAAGAAGCCAGACACAAAAGGACATATATTATGATTCCATTTACATGAAATATCTAAAACAAGTAAACTCAAAGACACAGAGAAATTGGTGTCTGGTTAGAAATTACCAAAAGAACTCAATGGGTGAAAGGTAAATCTCTTTAATAAATAGTGTTAGTAAAACTGAATAACCACATGCGGAAGAATGGAAACTGGACCCCTATTTTATATCACTCACAAAAATTAACATGAAATAGATTAAAGATTTAAACAGAAGTGAAACCAAAAAACTAAAAGAAAACAAGGAAAAAGTTTTTTGACATTGGTCTTGGTAACAATTTTTTGGATATGATACCAGAAGTACAAGCAACAAAAGCAAAAATTCATAATAAGGACCACATCAAATTAAAAAGCTTCTGCACAGCAAAAGAAACAGCAAACAAAACGAAAAGACAATCTACAGATTGGGAGAAAATATTTGCAAATCATATATCTGATAAGTGATAGATATCCAAAATATATAAAGAACCCATACAATTCAATAGCAGAAAAACAAACAATCCAATTATAATGGTCAGAGGAACTGAAGAGACATTTTTCCAAGATGTACAAACAGCCAACAGCTACTTGAAAAGGTGCTCAACATCACTAATTATCAGGGAAATGCAAATCAAAACCACCGTAAGACATCACCTCACACCTGTTATAATGGTTATCATCAAAAAGACAAGGGATTATAAATGTTGGGAAGGATGTAGAGAAAAGGGAAGCACCTTTGTGCACTGTTTGTGAGAATGTTTGTTGCAGCCACTATGGAAGACAGCATGGAGGCTCCTCAGGAAGTTAAAAATAGAACTGCCATGTGATCCAGCAATCCCACCTCTGAGTATATATCCAAGGGAAATGAAAACAGGACCTCAAAGAGGTATCTGCACTCCCATGTTCATTAAGGCACAATAGCTAAGATGTGGAAACCACCCAAGTGTCCGTCAATGGATGAATGGATAAAGAAGATGTGGTATAAAGACGCGGTGATTCCACCTATAATTTTCCGATTTTAAGGTGGCACAAAACCTGTATTTATTCAGTAGAAACCATACTGCAAATTTTAAATTTTTATCTTCTCCCGGGCAAGTGAGATGCAGTCCAGTACTCTCTCATGATGCTGGGCTGTGGCAGCAAGCCGCAGCTCCCAGCCAGCCACGCAATCACAAGGGTGAACAACCAGAACACTAACAACCATTCTGAACCCATACAAACATTCTGTGTTGCACTCTCTGTGTGGTATTCAATAAATTACATGAGACATTCAACACTTTATTATAAACTAGGCTTTGTATTAGATGATTTTGCCCAACTGTAGGCTAACGTTAAGTGTTCTGAGCATATTTAAGGTAGTAAGGCTTATAAGTTATGCTGTATTAAGTGTATTAAGTGTTTTTTCAACTTACCATGGGCTTATTGGAATGTAACTCCATCGTAAGTCAAGCAAGATTAGTATATATACAATGGAGTATTATTCAGCCATGAGAAAAAGGAAATCCTGCCATTTGCAACAACACAGATGAACCTTGAGGGAATTATGCTAAGTGAATAAGCCAGACAGAAAAAGGGCAAATCATGTATGATCTCACTTGTATGTGGAATCTGAAAAAGCTGAACTCATAGAAACGGAGTAAAGTGGTTGTTGCCAGGGGCTGGGAAGCAGGGGAAAGAAGAGAGGTCGGTCCAAGGGTACAAAGTTCCAGCTACAAGATGAGTAAGTTCTGGAGGTCTGGTGATTATAGCTAATAACACTGGATTATATACTCTAGATTTCAAAACTTACTACAAAGCTACAGTAAGCAAGATTTTGTGGTATTGGCATAGAGACAGACACACAGATCAATGGAATAGAAATGAAAGTCCAGAATTAAACCCTCACATTTATGGTCAAATAATCTTTGCTAAGAGCATAAATCTTAAATGTTCTCCCCCTGGAAAGGAAATGGTAATTATGTGATGTGATCTAAGGCTATATTAGTAATCATTCTGCAACATGTAAGTGTATCAAATCAACATATTGTATACCTTAAATTTACACAATATTATATATGTCAATTATATCTCAATAAAGCTGAGGTGGGAAAAAAAAATTTACCAGAGGAAAACATTTTGGAAATAGATAATGGTGATGGTTGCACAACATTGTGAATGTACTTAATGCCCTGAACTGTACACTTAATGGCTAAAATGACAAAATTTTGTTATATATATATGTTGTCTACCACAATGACAAGTAAACATTTAAAAAATACTTAGGAATGAATTTTTTAAAGTGTAAGAGTTGTACACTACAAAACATCATTGAAGGAAATTAAAGAAGATCTAAATATGAAAGATATCCCATGTTCACAGAGTCAAAGACTTAACATAGTTAAGATAGCAATGTTACCCAAATTGATCTATAGATTTAATGTAATTTCCATCAAAATCCCAGGAAGTGACAAACTTATCCTAAAATCCATATGGAAATCTACAGAAACATAATAGTCAGAACAATCTTGAAAAAGAAGAACAAATCAAGACTCATTCTCTGGATTTCAAAACTTACTACAAAGCTATAGTAATCGAGATTTTATGGTACTAGCCCAAGGATAAACACATAGATCAAAAGAATTGAATTGAAAGTCCAGAATTAAACCCTCACATTTATGGTCAAATAATCTTTTACAAGGGTGCTAAGACCATTCAAGGGAGTAAGAATAGTTTCCTCAAGAAATAGTGGTTGGGCAACTGGACATTCACACACCAAAGGATGAATTTGGACAATATCTCATACCACATGCAAAAATCAACTTAAAATGGGTCAGTATAAGAACTAACACTGTAAAATAATTAGAAGAAAACTTGTTGTGAATCATGACACATAATAACAATAAAATAGCTCCTTTTTGCTGAGCAACTACTTTATGCTGGTCACCCTATCAAGCTCCTTATACATGTAATTTTACTTTTAAAGGTGATACATCCACTTCACCCTAACTCACCATTTGTGTCCCACTCCCCATACATAAACTCTAAGCCTATCTTTAAAATATGGCTTAAATGAGTAAGAAATAGCTTCAAATGCTTACTTCTAGATTTAAAGTTGTACATATGGATGTTGCTACATTTTTCCTCCAGTTTTTACTATTTTTTCAAGTCATCAAAGTTGGACATGACACAAAAGGGAAGGGTGAGTGACAAGGCACAAAATGGCACATTAGTCATTCATTTGTTTATATTATTATTTTCTATACTTTAATGTCAAGTTCAATTTTTCTTTTAAATGAAAAGGTCATTTTAATCCGACAGGAAGGAAAAATGCTACTTAAAACACACAGATAGCGAAAGCCTTACTGTTGCAACCAGCTGTCAGAGGGAATGGATATATTTAAACTGCGAGGTTGGCTATTTTGAGATAAAAACAAGTAACAGGGAGTCAACAAATAGCCTTCTCCATTCTGACACTGAAACACTGATGCTCTGAAGCTGCTGCAGCACAGCAGAGGTTAAGTGGTGAAGTTTCTGTGAATAGATGACAGATGTTTGCAAGATTGCATGAATCAGCATTTTTCTAGGGAACAGGTCCACAACTCTCTTCATATGGACAACACACTGCAAATGCTCAGTTAGTATCTGTTGAAAGAATAAATGTGTACAGCACAGGAAACTATATTCAATATCTTATAGTAACCTTTAATGAAAAAGAACATGAAAACGAATATATGTATGCATAGGTATGACTGAACTATTATGCTGTACACCAGAAATTGACATAACATTGTAAACTATAGAAAAAAAGAAAAGGATCCACAGCAAGGAAGAGCCAGAGCACTACCCAAAGCACTACTGCTTCCTTGGTTTCATCTTTCATCACTTTCAAACTCCAGAATCATTTCAGGATTGTCTTGAGCTACCTGTTGCACAACTTTCTATAAGTGTTTTTCTAAACAAAATATTACAGCTTAACAAAGGGTCTTACCAAGATTAGAGAATCCATCCTGAAGGGCCCATAATCGAGCCCAGGGAGCAGGGACAGGCTCCTCAGGTTCTTGGTCCTCGGGAATAGAACACAGTTCCTGAGTGGACACTGTGTCTAAGGAGCTGAGCGTGCCCGAGCTGGAGTGAGAAGACTGGCTGGACGTGGGCACTGTGCTGGTGGAGGAGCTGGACACGCCCTGAGACTGTGAAGAGGAGCCGTGTGTCTGTGAGGAGGGACCATGGGACTGCGAGAAGCTGCTTTGGGACTGAGAGCAGGTACCGCTGGCATGGGACTGCGGGGAGGCACTGCCATGGGACTGCTGACACTCCACATCTGTCTCCCGAGACATCACGACCTCAAAGATAAGTGTCCAACAATAAGGTGAGTTTCAAGGAACAAGACTAAAGGTCAAGAATGAAGGATGGGCATGTTACCTTAGCCAAAATACATATATATATATGTATATATCCATCCAGGGCAATCATGCTCTGCAAAAATTAAAATTCTAAGTCTAGACATACTAACTATAATTCTGCTGGACAGAGCTTTTCATCAGATAATTTTCACCCGAAGTTTTCTGCCTGACAGCCACAAACCACAGTGGAAAGAAACAAAAAAATTTATTTGAAGACTGTAAATAAGTAAAAAGCAATGAAACTGAATTGAAGAGGAGACTCATAACAGCTTACATTCATCTAATGTTTTAAATGAAAAATGGAAAGTTTTAAATTATTAATGTATTCATTAATACAATCAACACTATATTTACTAAACTTCATATATATTTTTGGAAAGGAAAGAAGGGGAAGGGTCAGGTGGCTTGGGGTAGACAACGGGCAAAGTTCTACAGAATTTCGCTGCACCACCCCAGGGTGGTTACTTACATAAAATGTCACTGATGCCCCTTCTCCCTCTAGCAAGCTCCTGGAGGAGCCAAGTCCTGTGGTTCATTCTAGATTCCTTGACTCCAAAACTAAGAGCCACGCCACTTAATAAGGCAAAACGCAAAACCTGCTCTAAACCACTCCACCTAGCCCTTTGTGATGCTAATTAACAATGGGGTTGGTCTTTTCAGCATCCTAAATGGCCTCCTAGCCCAACAGAAGCCTGAAGAAAACATTCTTAAAGACACAGAAGACCATAACAGAGGTTCTCACCCTTGCTTTAGAATTTGATGGACAGTTCAACTCTGATAACAGAACCTACAGTAAAGTCAAATTTTCAATCCCTAACTTTAAATCCTTAACCTGAGTTTTAAAAAATTAATAAATAAAGGTGCATTCTCCTCAGATTCCCACTCAGGCTATCCCTAAAGGAGAATACAGTAAACACGACTTACACTGATTATTGCATTTACACAGCTTTCCAGATGTAAAGGTCCTGATGCGTTTTCCTTAAAGCACACCAGGGAGGTGCTGCCAGAGCAGGACCTGCTGCTCTAACACCACCTCAGCCACGCTGTGTCCTTCTGCAGCTTTTGGAGCAAGACTTCTCTGCCCTGGAAACTGGCAAAAGACAGCGCATCAAGAGACAGCTGCCATCTTGGTTCATGATAAATAAGGGTCCATCAGGCCAGGACCCCGCTGGCCTCCGCCACGAGGAAAAAGTATATTGGACAGGTTAGAAGTAAACAGGTCTGGAGTTGAGTCAGATGTTTTAGTCGAGGGGGAGGGTAGAGCTGAGTGGTAGAGTTGTACCTAGCATGCACGAGGTATGAGTTCAGTCCCCATTACCTCCACCAAAATAAGTAAATATAGCTAATTACCTCCCCCAAAACAAAGAACAACAAAAAATGAAAAATGAATTTTTTAAAAAAAGATATATAAGTCAACTCTTTGCACGATCTTTAGGTAGATCACAACCTCCCTAAACCCCCTAAAAAGGAGGTAGATCTGAGAATTACATGAGGCATCAACGCTACTCTCCCCACCCCAGTAATGCTTGATAATTGGGAGTCCCAGGCCCAAAGGATCTGAAAGCCGGAAAAGGCTTTCACAATCGCAACACATTTTTTTTTCAAACAGAGAAACTGAGTCCCAAGGAAGAATGGTGTCCTCCCACCCTCTTCTCGCCACCCCATCCCCACACTTTCTTACGGACACTCACAGGCATCCTCCTACACTAGTCTGTGTTTCCAGTTCCCTGCAGCGCCTAGAGGCTAAGAATGGGTTCCCAATAGGTATTTTCCAGATTGAACCTAAGTGTGGAAATAATTACTAACACTTATAAAACTCTTTACAAAGCAACTTCGCTCTGATTTTCAAGAGCACAACTTTGTTATCTCTCATCCCATACGGCTGGGCCAGTTTCAGCTTGTAAATAACAAGGGAAGTGAACTTCACCTCGAAGTCTATCTAAAAAGGAAGAGAGTCGCCCACACATTCCTCTCCCCCCTTCCCAAGCTCAAACACAGGACAAAGCGGAAGCTCAGGAAATTCAGCTCGCAATAAGACCCTGAGGGCAGGATTCGAACCCCCAAACGCCCACGAGAAGTTCCCCACTATGACTCACCGCGTGAGCCCACCTAGAACCGCACACCCAAAGCAGCCGCAGCCAGCGGAGTGGCGCTAAACGCGCAGATACAAACTCCACCCTCAGCCAATCACAACACCCCTCTGCCTCCATAGGACCAATGAGAAACAGCGGATGTGGCCCGCCACATGGCCTCAATGCTTTCCGGGAGTTGTAGTTTAAAACGTAAAGCGGAACTCAGGATCCAGGTTTCCCGGGTGTAATCCCGCCCCCTCGGCTTCCCGGCCAATCAGCAGCCCTAGGCTAGTCGGCCACTTTCCTAGGTGGCCACGGGGAGGCAGGGCGCCGGCCAGATGTGGGGCGGAAGGACGGGGACCTTGCTCCGGGTGTCGGGGTTGTGGCCCACAGGGGTCCTCCGGAGGAGACCGCTAAACTGCAATGCTGCCTCGCTGGCAGGAAGCAACTCCCTCCGGTGCTGGAACTGCGGCGGCCTAGGGGGCCCCTTGCGGGGGGACCGGTTCTTCTGCCCTCAGTGCCGCGCGCTGCAACCACCTGACCCCACTCAAGACTACTTCAGCCTCATGGACTGGTACGGGAGGCGGTTTCGGAAACGCGCCTGGGCGTGCGAGAAGGGAGGGCCGGTCCGGCTTGAGGAGAAGGCGGGACCAGTTACTTTAGGTGGGCGGAGCCCTAGAGAACAGGGCCTGGGAGAATGGTGGGTGGGGTGTGTCCAGAGAGAAAGGACCCTGAGGGGCGGGCCTGAGCGATGACGACGCCTTGAGGGACAGAGACTGGAGTAGGGCCTGCCTCCCTGTGGTCACCTGTAGGGCAGAGAGACAGAGAGAGAGAGAGAGATAGAGAGAGTAGCCGACCAAACTAGTGCTGCTGACTGGCCTGGGAGCCGAGGGAGCCGGGATTACCCTAGAGAGTACTGGAGGGACGGAGAGTGTAATTAGGGGAAACTGAGGTTTGGAGGCTACAATGGAGGGAGACTTGAGACCTGAGAGAAGGCGAAGTTGAGGGATGGGGTCTCAGGGAACGGTACTTGCCAGGCACTGGAGGACGGAGACTTGAGGAAAGAGTCAGAATGTTTAAAGTTGGGTTGAGACTTTTAAGAAAGAAGTACTGAGGTGTTATCCAAACTAAGGGAATAAAAGCACGGAAAAATCTTAACACTGTGGGCAGAGTCTAAGGGAAAAGTGAGAATGGAAGGAGAAAGTCTGAGAAATCAGAGTTTTTCCTGCTTACCTCCGAAATTGAAGAGCTTGAGGAGGTGGTGAGGTTTAGGTGGAACTAATGAAATAAGGCAGGCTCTGGGAATAGAAAGCGAAAGGGATTGGATTAAAATAAAATGGGAGATAGAGATGAAGGAATCTGGGCCTTAGAAAAATAGGGTGGGATTCTAGAATGCCCCTTCCCCTTGAGTCTGGGATCATGCCCCACCAGTCACTGAGCACTTAGGATAAACTGTGGTAACACTACCCTTTTAAGTTATTGAAGCATGTCAATCTTGTTCCCACTTCAGGGCCTTTACATGTTCCTTGTGTCTGAATGACTCTTTGATCTGATCTTCAGTTATTCCTTTTCATCATGCAGGTCTCAGCTCAGAGGTCATCTCTGTCCACCACATCTACCACTCTGATCCTATTCGGTTTTCTCTTGCAGTACCTACTACTTTTTGAAATAGCTCTATCTACATGTTTATTGTGTCATCCCTCATGAAAACTCCATTGATGCATGAATTTCATTTCCCAATTTCTTTCCAGCAACCGCTCGTTCAGAGTGGACACTGCGAAGCTCCAGCATAGGTACCAGCAACTGCAGCGTCTTGTCCACCCAGATTTCTTCAGCCAGAAGTCTCAGGTAACCTATTGGCCACCCCTAATCATACCCAAACACTTGTTCACATTGGGTGGGTGGCGGTGGCCTTGTGGTCATGTGACAGAGCTGACCACCAGCTTCACCCTTGGGCCGTCAGTCCCCAGCCAGCCTGTCCTGGATCTGTCCTGCACTCAGCTTTTACTTGACTTCCCAGCAGAATTAGAACCTGTCATCAGAAAATAAAAACAGTTTATCCCATACCGGTTCTACTTTGACCACTTCCTTAGGTGCCTGCCCATAAATATTTCATGAAACAGTTTGTGAGACAGTAAGGTGGCTGATTTGGATGGTAATATGACTATCTTCATCTCCACTAACAGACTGAAAAGGACTTCTCAGAGAAGCATTCAACCCTGGTGAATGATGCCTATAAGACCCTTCTGGCCCCCCTGAGCAGGGGACTATACCTTGTAAGGTGATTTTCCAACCCTTCTATGCATGACTGTCTGGTGCCATTGCTCAGTGGTACATCTACTCCCCTATATTCAACAGAAGAGTGCTTGAGACCTTAGCCAGTCTGGGAACCCAACGATAATTAACCTCAAAGATACTATATGTGTATAATTTTCTCTGGGTGTCTATATAAATCTTACTTGTCCAATTGCTTTTTTTTTTCCATTTTCTATAAAGTTCAAGGATTGGATGGTGCTGACTTTTAGGGAAGAGTAATTTTTGTTATGTTTTGCTTTTCATTGGGGGTGAAGTGAGCACCTTAAAATTTAATAGAATCTTTTCAGATATCTATTTCAACCTCTCAAGTGGAAGAATGACTCCCTTGGGGATACCTAGTTCCAGGTAGGAGAGAGTGATCCCATCCCATTACTCCTGTCTCAGTCCAACTTTCCAGCACCCTACCCTCACACTTTCATTACTGGGACAGTTCAGGCTTTCCCTATGAGTAGTATTCTTTTCTGAAGGGTGAGTGGGGACTTAAAGTGAGTAGGATTTATGACTCCGGCCATAGTTTCTTGAATTAAACTTATTTTCCCTGTTTATGCCCCAATAGCTAAAGCTCCGTGGAGTAGAGATTCCCGAAGGGACAGATTATGAAATGGACAGTCAATTCCTCATGGAAATAATGGAAATCAATGAAAAACTTGCAGAAGCTCAAAGTGAAACTGCCATGAAAGAGATTGAATCTATTGTCAGAGGTAAAAGATAAAACACCACCAAATGCGTTTTATTGCTATTTTGAGTACGAGTACAGGTTAAGTGAAAAATGAAAAGAAAGTGTACATATTGGCCTTCATAATGATTCAGGGAAGGTTTTTGTTTGTTTGTTCGTTTTTTTCTGATTAAACTGAAAACAGTTTTGTCTAGAGGTTAGACTTGCAAAATCCCTCTCAGGAAGACCGAGTTAAACCAAGAATGTGATAGTATTTTGCAGATTGCAGTGTTCCTTCCCACCCATGACATCATTTGGGTAATATTATTATCTTTGACAAGAAAAATTGGCCTCAGAAGTTCATGGAAGTGCCCAAGGTCACACAACAGATACAGCAGAGCAAACATTAAAACCCTGGTCTTATGATTTCATATTGCTTTACTTTCTACTTTATTCCATAGTGTATCAGAGTTTCCCAGAGAAACAGAATCAATACCATGTGTGTGGGGGTGGATTTATTTTAAGGAATGGGTCATGTGATTGTGGGAGCTAGCAAGTCCGAAATGTGGGACAGATTGGCAGAGACCAGACCCCTAGTCCAGTGTGCTTTTGTTGACACCACATTGCTACCTGAGAAGTACTAGACTAGGAGTCAGGTGACTTGGGGCCTGTTCCTAGTCCCTGCACTCACCAACCATGTGACCATGGTAACATTCTCCCAATACCTGTCAGTGCCTACTGTGGGGATGTAATGTATCTGAAAGTGCATTGAAAGTGGGTACCGTATAAATGATAGATACTGTTTACATCTGGAAAATACACTTACCATAAAATTTCTCATTTCCTAATGAGGAAACAATAAAAATATGAGTTGGCTGCCCCTTTACTTCACCTGGCACCTTCTCTCTTAAGGTACAATGTGATCTAAATATTTCAGTTTCCTGAGAGGCTATGTAATTCACCAGTGGTTGCCTGAAACGCTATAGTGCCCTGCTGATAGGCAAGCCCAGCTTGTTAGGCTGAAATCTGGAAGACTCGGACTGCTTGGTGGAGATAATCAAAGCATTTCCGGGGTGGGGAGGGTATAGCTCAGTGATAGAGTGTGTGCTTGGCATGTACAAGGTCCTGAGTTCAATCCCCAATACCTCCATTAAAAAAATAAGTGAATAAGTAAACCTAATTACCTCCCCCACCCCCAAAAAACAAAAACAAAAAAAAGAAAGAAAGAAAGAAAGAAAGAAAGAAAGAAAGAAAGAAAGAAAGAAA